GTTGAGACGGAAAACTCTCACAGTAGTCAGCTGATTCTACAGAATTGGATAGCGCAGTCCCCCAACTGGCCTCTTTCACTTATATCTTTCTAATAAACACGCATTTATGTTCACAATCGTCTTAGTCCAAATAAAGAATCATTAACTAAACGTAAGGCTGTTACGTGCTTAGCTACCAAAGCGGTTAGATAATAAACTTTAGTCGTTGCCTGAATTATTAATTTTCCATAGAGAAAAACCATATTTCCATAATAGAAAACACTATAAAACAGAATCAGTCTCTATTTAATATTATCGTTTCGCATATATTTGCAATGCTATATGCTTAAACGTGAGGGATTTATAAAAAGAATGAACATTATAGTTCAAAATAGTATAATAGCTCCGCAAAAATTTTGCACAGTGAGGTTTTCTTATGAAAATAAACATTGATTCATTCGGGGGAAGTATCGTCAAGGCTGTATACTGAGACATTGAGTTCTAGCAGCCTTCCATCTTGGTCGATATATTTCTTTGCAAAGCGGATATAGAGCTCATACTCGGCAACAATTCGCAGACTCTATTCAGAATCATAATAATAATACTACAGCGTACGCATTAACTTAACTGGGCTCTGTCTTTTTGTCTATTGGGTGAGCCAAGTTTTACTCGGATTTTTATCTACTTATTCTAACAGTATCCGGCGATGCTTTTGAAGAGGCGCAGCAAATCTGCGAAAGAAATAACAGGCATCACTGTTGGAGGAACAAGGCATACACCTCGGCCCTTGAAACCGTATCATGCGTGTAGACTACCCTGAAACAGGCAAAGGCGATGATGTCCACATCTCTGCCCCCGAATAGGCTGTGTTCGTATTGCAGAAGCGCAAGACAAATCGTGCTCATGTATGAAATTACTTTTAGGTCAGACTTATTTTTACGTAATAATGGAAAACTGGTTTGTGGACAGACAATGGTAAGTACATTTACCACAAGTGGTAAGTGCTTTACGTAGTGTGTTATTAATCACTTCGATCTCGAGCGTGAGACCAACTGTAGGCAGCAAATGTACGAGTGGGCCTGTTTAACTGTATGCTCGTCTATTGTATCTATAAATATATAAAATACCTAAGTCTTATTTTGTATGTACGCCATACAGCGATAGCGTCAATTCCCTATTCGCTATTTCTACATCGCTGATTACCTCAATGATAATAACATCAACCATTATTTAGGCAAAGATACGAATTGCTTACAAAAAACAGTCAGAGTGTCATCGATTACAGATGACAAACAGAGAACGAAACAGGCTAGATTTTAAGTTAAAGCTTGTTTTTGGTCCAGAAAGAAGTAACCTGAAGGAGTGAGAATTTAATTCAAAGTTAGAGTGGGCAATTTAGGTTCAAAAAAAAGCAATCAAGCTCCGCCGATCAAATCGTTGTTTTGTCAGCTCATATCGTTTGCTTTATTCACACGATGCATGTACATGCGCACGACCATGGGCTAGCTGGAGTTGCCGTCCATACGTTGTGGCGAGGCTGGTGCACCTCTATAGCCTCAGATTCGATGATAATAAAACGAACAATGAAATCGTTATTGTAGGGAAGCTCGTATAGCCATACTCATGCAATACAGACGTCTAGCTAACAATATAGATGAAACTGTACTGCTTTTGGCAATTTGGTCTTTGGCAAGTGACAATAATAACAACAATAGATGAACGCTAAACTAGGCCTTGACGTAAGGTTACATTTGTACTTAACAAAGGTAGTATACGTGGCTTGAAGTCGTTGATGCAACTTTCACTCAGACTACTGCCATCACTGCGATGGCTTACACTATATTATTCAAGATATATCTTGCCCTTAGGACAATGAAGCATAGAAGAGAAATCGTCTGCTTCGAATAAGCTTTTGCAGACTGAAATACACATCCATACGAAAGAATTTATCTTACAGTCAAACCCAAGTTGAAATCGGTATCAATTGTTTTAACAATAGCTACGTTTAAAAGACGTCGAATTAGGTTTCCAAAGCCGACGATGCAAATCGTAAGTCAGAAATAAATCGCAAGACTCCTAACACGCTATGCTAAATTGAACAGGGTTGTTCGAAGAACATTGGCGGCCGGTTGATGAAATGCCGAGATATTTTCTAGGCATCCAAATAGACCAATGGTCTCATCGTATAATATTGGCGTTCAACCATCTCCTATGGCCTCCTAGAGAAGACCTCGCCCAATGACTGTGTCGTTGTTATACCGAATTTGCGCCGTTTTCGGCGGCACGACGTCGTATACCGGTGAGATTGGCAAAGCTTCCCCGATGGTTCAAGTACGTCCAGAATAGAGAAATTATTTGCCTCTTCTGTGATTCGCTATTGGAAAGGCTCCAACAGCAATGGAGGAGTAACCTACCGGATGAAGTGCGCTCGTTTGGGATGAGAGATAATTAACACAATATTATCATCGTCATCCAAAAGCAGTTTAGCTAAGTACAAGGATAGGCACTGTGAGGCCACCCGTAAGATCCGTACAGACATACACATAGAAAATTTTCCGAAAGGGTCAAACACAACTACGGAAGCTGTTCAGTTGAGGCGAGAGGTAACGGAGATCCTACAAACTGCCGGCATGTCGACAAACAGGCTTCTAAAGTAATTGCGTCTCCTTTTAGGTCCTCCGTCTAATGGGGTTACATTCAGAAGGGGAAGATGCATTAAGGTGTTCAGAGTGACGTAAAATTTAGAACGGGATGTAGTGTTTTTTGCCTGCACAGCATGCACTCGTTCATTACCAGTGCGCTCCCGACGATGCGGACGCTGATGAAAGCATGCGCGAGGCCGTATGGTCCACCGGGATTGTTAGCCCCGATCGTACCGGTCTTGAAGTAAATAGAGCGAGAGGCACAGTCGGAATTGATACGACACTACTTGTCGAACTGTTTAAGCATTGGCTAGGCTGATTCGAGGAGCTAAAGAAGCTTCCAAGATCCGAATGAGTGAGGTGCATAGGCCTCAGATTGGCGGGCGGTCGCGGCCTCTTTTATGATACGAGTAGTTAGCGGTTTGTTTCAAGTCTATGGATCCTACCTATCGGGTAAGAGCGTTGTAAATGGCTGTTAAAGCCAAGCTAGCGCAACTAAGGCAACTCGACAGACTGACAGCTTTTAAAGAGAAGCTGATGGCAGCCACGTTTGCAGTATGGTTATTGTAAAAGATCAGGAAATGCTTAAGGCTACACCAGTGTACTTCTGGTCGAGTATAAAATTTATGTTGCGCTGGATCCGCTCAGCTTAATCTGACAAATGGGCTGTGTTTTTTAGAAGCCGGCTGCACGAAATGCAAATTTTCGTTTGACGATGTTCAAGCAAAGCACCATAGCGTTGTCCAAAGCGAGGGCACTAGTTACATGTTTGAAAGGCCTACTCGTCAACCCAACGAACTTCTCCTCGCTACAGCCTCTAGTTTGCGTTATTGCTTGGAAATTGTAGTGCAGTTCAGAGAGAAAGTCCGTCGTCTTTCGACAGCAAATAAAATCATCACAACGAAGCAACGCCTGCTTATTTAGGCGCAGACACATTGCTTAGGGGATATAGCAATGACTTTCGGATGGACCCGGAGATAACTGCTTCCCAACCTTTGTTGACTTGGTTCAAGTTGGGAGTAGACTGCAGCTTACCGATGAAGGGTTGAACCCATATTTCTGCAACATGGCTAATCATTGCTGATATTGACCGCGGGCGTATGAAGACACGGTACCTAGCGAGTTCAGGTTAAAGTATTAAGTCATACGAGTGCGAACTTTGGTCGAATTGGTGATCCACAAGGGCAAAGAATAATTTATAAGTTTCTATACCGGCAAAGTGCACGGAGATGTCCTTTTAAGCGACATGAATTCACTGTTTTGGATTGTTGGAGGCACGAGCCGCGGGTGAAATCAAAAAGATCTGGGTGGCGCTACGACCTAGTTCCATAGCACTGGTTGTGCATTTCGAAGTGGTCGAAAACCTGATAGCGGGTTTGTCTTTAACGGCCATCCCCAGGTTTTTACCTTTGTACGAAGCGCCAGTTAAATTTGTTTCGTACAACGTGTTCATCTTCAAAAAAGCTTGAAGATATCTGCTGCGTCCTTCAAAGGGGCTGCGAAGCTACGAGGTTCAGACTTTTTCATCTAATCGGAAGCTGTTGAGCATTTCTATGCTCTACGATGCATGTGGTGAGGTAGATACCACGAGCATCTCGTCGGTTTCACGAGCACGTGGCTGCGGAGAATGGTCGGCTATCCTAAGCTATTGCTTGTGAGTTTAAGTACTTTGCTCTACGAACTGGCTGGTACTATAAATTAGTGCATAACTTACTCGTACTCTATATAAAGAAACAAGTCAAGAACCTTGCCATTAGTCTACGTTTTGTTCCGTTAATGTGTTCATTTAATCAGTTGCTTGATACTGGTGGAAGTCGCGATCGATCAGATAAGTTATGGCGCCAGCGGAAGAAAATGCCAAATGCGTTTTAGACAATATGGAGGATGGAGTACTTATTGGTGCTCTTCAGGACTTACAACCGGCAGTAAAGCAACCGAGTGCCGTCCTTTGATAGCCGGGAAGTACTGAAAGAGTGTTACTGAGTTCCGCGTTGTTTAAAGTGCATATAAGTAACGGACGTCAGGTGGCTCTTGCCAGAATATTATGGCTGAATCTTCGTAAAATTCTACATTACCAAAACAGGTTGGGATTGACGTGATCCCTATAACAATAATGATAATATAATAGTAATGTGCTTGTTAGGTAAATTCAATAATGTTTTTTTTTTTGAAACGAAAGAGCGCCTACGTTTACGAAATGTTTGCGTTAAATGCACAATATATATAATTCTAAATTAAGGAGTTCTATTACAACGAATTTTTTTTATTACAATTTACTTGCAACGGGTACACAAACTGAGATATTGATTCGTGAGTATAATTGCCATGTTGGTGTTCATGGTTTTGGAAGGTAACACTACAAGAGGAAGGATACGTCACCGAACGCTGAAGTCATAGCGTGAAACAATATGGAATACTGCTGCTGGACTCCGTACATTATGATTCGAACGGTGCGCGTCTTCACGCACTTGCGAGTGAAGGGCCCTCCCTCCTGGATTGATTTTTTCGGATGGCTGTTTAGGGGTCACTGGGAGGTAGGGAAGTTAGCTTTTGAGTGCGACCTTGTCACTCACCCCCCGTACACCATCAAGACGACATGCCCTGTAGAAGCAGACCGTCTGCAAAAACAGCAGAGCGAAATAATCGTGGTCGGTAGTGGTGTATAACTGTGCGATTAACGAATTAAATTGAGAACATGTAAAGAAGCATGAATCAGTTACGGTGCTACCTGCTAGCTATCGTCGTATTTTTCATTAGCTCTTCGCAACAAAGATCACTATATTAAGAATACGATTGCTGTACTGTAGGTGAAATGATGGCGTAATGGATAACGCGTTTACTAGAACTTCAAGGACATATGGGTTCGAATACTGCTGCACGCTAGGGGCTGGGCCCCCGATGTACTGCCTAAACAAACGTAAAACACTTAGCTCAAGAAGGAATCGATCAAGGCTATCGTAAGGCACAAGTTTATTCATAGATAGTTCTTATGGTGAGAAACGAAACTTATAATTAATAAAGTTACTGCCAAGGTATCTATAAGGAAATAATTAAAAGGTAAAAAAAATCTTTTCTCTTTATGAAGAAAAATTTAGTGATACAAGCGACCACTAACGATTGTTGGGTTGATTGTGATCGTAAAACTTAGTCAAATGATACTTCAATGGTTATGAAAATATAGCTATGTAGTTATATAATATAATAGTTAGCTTATGTAGTAGAACTAATCAACCTGACCTATACATCACTCAGAGTAATTACTTGTTACCTGCTGGAAGCGTAGACACACACTGGATTAAGCAGGATTGATCAATCGATCGGTTGATCGATGACGATAGTAAATCAGTAAACAATCAAATTAGTTATGCTAATAGGGTTTTGTACGGAAACGATAGAGACATACAGCGTGGTCGGTGAATGCTCAATGATGAGGACTTTTGTGATTTTTATTTTTTCTTAGAGTGATTAAAGACTTTTTGATTAGATCATGGTGACGCCTGACTGGACCGTATGCCAACATGTGGGGGCTATCTGTTGCAATGAAAATACTTAGACATGCCTGCCTTAGCGATATCTATGATACGATTTCTTGTTCCCCTCGGAATAACACAAGCGTTTGTGCTCTACATGCGAAAGCATAAGGACGAAAGCATATAGGACATTCATACGCGCAAAACTTCTCTTGAAACCTCGAAACGCTAAAAGCGACTGCAGATACAACAGTGTCAATCACAATATCATAAAAAACTTCGTAGTGTACGATTTTCACCTTCACTTGCAAAATGCCAGGACAACAACGATCTAATAAGGGTCGTATTTGTACTTATAAAGCAATATATTTTAGCTTGTGTAGCTTAATCATATCCGTTAATGGACTTGGTAAATATGTTCAATTTTATATAAAATCATGGCTTATGACAACGTATGCTGTATATTTATATAACTTTTCTCACAACCATTTTAAATAAATTACTGCGTCTGTTTGATCGTTTCCAAGTCACCAACCTATTTCATGAAGTGTATTTTGTCCAGGCTATCGTCTATACACAGTAAGATCAGTTTTAATTTCATATACTGCAGCATAGGAAAGATATAGTACCCATTTGACTAAAGCGACAGCTCGGTATTTTCTTGCTTTTACGTTTATGTTTTTAGAAGCCGACACTGTTATTATCATTATTGTTATTGTAGAAGACTGAACACAGTGCAAGCTATTTCCTATTGTAATTGGAGGGAAAGGAAGGACCGTTTCAATGGAAAATACTAACTAGTTAAACTGTTGATTTTTTAAATTATTTAGCTGAAAAAAAAAATCAATTTTTGAAGAATAATGTATCGTGAAAAAAATTAATTTGTCCTTCTTTATAAAACCCGCCAACCTCACAGGATCTTAGTTCAAAGTTTTCACTGAACGAGGATCAGTCTTGCAGTGTATAGCCTCAAGCTTTCTCTGAATGAATTTCAATCGAAAATTTTTAACCGCAAAAATGGGGACAATTTTTGGCTAACGTTTAGATCAATGTCATAGTTTGAACAGAAAATAAATTTCATTCAATCACATCTAACCTTCGTTAGCCAAACCAGATTACACTTGTGCTTAGTGTGGGGGACATTTGTGGTGCCCTCGCGTAGCTTTTTTTTTTTATAAGCAGTTTTGTGGCAAGCATGGACAATTGTATTCACTGTTTCCGTTGACATACGGACACAAGTAGTACACTTAACCTTATCGCTTTGTCGAATCAAGGGATCGTAAACAGGCTACCGAACAATTCACTTTGTCGCCGATAGCGAACGATGAGCCCGACGGTCTCTGGGGGACCCAAGCAAACTTTATTCTAGGTATAAATGCCTAAGGTACTGCCCGCCAAGAAGTAGGTAATAGGTCTTCGCGAAGCTCTAACCTACTGCAAATGATAGTAAAATCAATGTAGAGATCAGCGTTCTGCGCGATTTACACAGTTCGCACTTATTCATCGCAGCCTTAAATACCGGAAATCGAAGTGGAAGATAATCTGTGAAATATAAATAGGCTGGGGTGTCATATGTAACTTCATGTTGAGGACCAGCTCCGATCAATGGTATTATTGGATCAGCCTACGATCGTGATCAGGTAAACTGTTTTTGGGTAGGCAAGCGCGTACTAGCCTTGCGGCTTAGCAACTAAGGTTCACTGCTAACAGGCCTGGATCTGGAACAAGCTGTTGCGTTGAAATCAATTTGTTTGGTCTTAGTGTATTCACGAGAGTTATGGGGCACTGAACTTTTTGTATACCATGAACGACAAGCTATAGGATGAAATGAAAAGCTTAGAATTCTAAATGTGTCTTGCGTCTACAGACTGACATGTGTATGTGTGCACATTTTAGTGGAAACCAACGTATTGCTCGTAATAATCTGAATTGTAGCGTAAGCTAATAATGTTTCTTTGAGCAAAAACTCAGTTTTGATGAGAACAGAAGGTAGAGTGCATATATATATCTATAGACATTTGTGTTTAATTCTCCCACCAGTTCTGGGTATATTGCACATCATATCTTATTGTTTACGTATTTGATTACCAGAATAGGTATTGTTCTTTCAGTCGAGGCACACAATTAGAATTTACAAATTATGGTGTTTTGAAACTGTCTGACGTAGACATAACCACTGAAACAAATTGCATATGCGGTCTAAAATCACTACCTTCTGTAGCTTTAGCGGGTTCACGATTCTGTTTACAAAAAATACAGGCTGACATTTTAAGAAGAGCGTATAACTATGACCCTGAGGTCCATTTTCATTTTTTTTACCAACAACTTTTACCATGTGTCACTAAAAAGAATAGATCATTCGTATAACAGATACAGCCTTTATTGCACACAGAACATTATAAACGTCTATTCGTTTGATGCCGTTCGTGACGGAACGCGTGGAGGGGATGAGGCAGAAGAAAATAAGAAGCATTAGGTAAATGAAGCCCTCCACTTTACGCTCTGCTCATCCTCCTTCTACCTAATAATCGGTAAATACAAGAGACGAGGAGTTGTGGTGACAGTCTACGGGCAGTAGCTTCTGAATTTCTGCAAATACGTACATAAGTATGTACTTAGTTTTACCGTTTCATTACGACAACAGACAGAGACAGTCGTCCGTTTGATTGATCCGTTTCGTTTGCCACTGGCGTGTTTCGTCGAAGTTTCGCCTCTTGTGAGCGGCGGGCAGTCATCCGAACTAACCTGCTACTTTAGTTGACAAACGGAGATAACAAAGAGTTACCGAAGCGTACCATATAATGGGTATCAGCTTAGTTGTAGGCAAAAAGATCAGGGGACATTATATTTGCTTTTCGTGCCAAGGTCAATCTTCTTCAATCTTGACAATTGACAATATACTCTCAGTGTTAATAGTTAGATGGCAGCAGTTATATCAGCTAAAACATGCTTCATTACACACAAATCCAAACGCGAATTCTGTGCTTGAAATGGGTTAATAATTTTTCTAGCTCTGAATCGACTTATCCGCTTTGCTTCTTCAGGCCTACCGTGTTCACAAAAGAGGGCCTGTATATATGGCAGCTTTGAAAGAAAATCCTTACTGTCCTATAGAACAAAGCCCACTAGGTGAACGAATTACTTTTACCTATAATCGTCGACGAAAATTGAGTAATAGATTAGTAATGCTTGAACAAAGAAGAGCCTAATGTTTTGTGGGATTTTATGAAACGCTCTTATGAGTTTTGATGGGCTTGGCCTCCGCAGCCTTAAATGAGCTACCCACTGTCAACAAGCATGAGACGTCACATTCTGTTTTGTAATATTAATAACGTCGAATGGATCCGGCAATACTAGACGATATATAAGTGCTTCTTTTATAGTTTTTAAAAACAGAATCGTTGAATTGATCTAATTGTTCGCCGAGATTATTTTTGTAACACTTAAAGTTATATAACCCTAAGTTCTAATAGGTTAGCAGGAAAATAAGATCTGAACTAACGCAACTTCCCTTACTTTTTTTTTTTATCAACCGCCGAATGGAACAAAAGTTGCCAAAACTCTATACCTGCAGCATTTGATTCCCTTTTCCGAAAGAAAGAATTTTATTGAAGTTGAGTGTAAATCATGATGAATCTAATACGCTGTAATAATAAATATATTAAGAATACATGTGAAAAAATCTGATCTTAACTATTTACCTAATGATTAGACCGGAGGTGTCGAGCGAACAACACACGCCAGCTGCACCCCAGGGTCATGTATATGACCAGATATAAATTTAAATAAATCTACAACATTAGTATGTACATTGCTTATGAGACAGTCAAAATGCGATAACGACATTGCTTTAACCGGAAAAACAAGAAAAAACAATGAATTATATTTATAACTAGTTGATAATAAAGCTGACAATTACGCAGGGGGGAGAGCGATGAAGGAGCATAAACTTTCCTGAATGTTTTGCTCGTAGTAGTACCTTGCCTTATCGTAAATGAGTGGAGCGCGAGAGCTTGACTCCAGTTACATGGCCGACCTTTTTACCTTCATGACTACCTGCACATGTTTTCACTGTTTTTATGCTCGATCATATTTTACTTACGATACTGACGCTCTTACCGTCCAAGAGAAGTTTTTGCGAATAAGTTTTAGTCTAAATTTCAAGCTACCCGTACTAATTAGTACAGCGTTATGTTCCGAGAACCAAAATACCCAGTTTCGTCTAGTACCTAGAGAAACGAATTCTTGTTTCGAAGAATCTAGACATATGACGCAAACTAATTTTAAAGATTCAAAACTGCATGTACTATTGTATAAACATGTATTGTATGTGATTTTGGAATATATGGAATCGGACCAAATATGGATGACAGGATTAAGGAGAAATTACGATATCAAAAACGCACAAAAATTTTATACGACAAGTTGCCTACTGTTATCATAATAGAACGAATAGTTTAAAGTTCTAATCGAGCAGAATAATACAAACAAGCTTGCTTAGATGTCGAACATAGAAAGCGATTCCTTAGCAGGGTTCAAGTTAATACGGTGAGTGCTGAAAACGTCCCAGCCCAAATCGGGCGGTAATGAACAACCTGTTTGCTACGTGGTGTACGACAACCAATGTCACTACCAATAAACAGCTTCTAGGATAGCATTTGTCAAAAGCTTTAGGCATACTTCACGCAGGGATCTGTCATCTGGTACGCACGGCATCTAATTTTTAGACGCAACGATCACTAAAATTAAGATACGAACTTATCTAGGTTTGTTCACGTCTGCTCATTTATTGAAGGAAGTTAGTACTTTTCAGCATCTAGTTTTCAAGAAAAATTAAAACTATCCCATGTTCTTCCCTTCACCTTTACCTAAGAACAATGATAATAGTAGAGAACAAGTGCTATGATAGAGTATTAAATCACGATATGGTACGATACTTATCAAACACACATCATGGTACCCTTCATTACGTGTCTTCGACGAAAAGATTACTTATATAGCGTAATAGTAATCGAGTTTGCTGCACGATACTGAATGCAACACGTCCTATATCCTTTGCACATCCTGTGGATACTAACGAACAGCAGGACAACTTAAGCCATGCAATCTTTTACCTAGTGTGTCGGCAATTGTTAATTCAATAGTAACTATGAAAAGTCCTAACAACCGGTATACAACAAGCTGCCAACAAATGTTAAGTTATATTTTGCCTACTTCATTTCGATCATCAAAAAATGTACATCTATGCAATTTTCAAGGTCGAATATAATTTCGGTTTTGTGATCTAGTCAGTGTCTTTGAATTCGGCGAGATGTCACAACACTGCCGTGGCCTGGCTGGTTAGGGCTATACAGCCCTGGTGGCACTCGAAGTCGATGTTATCTTTCTGTTGTCAATCAAATTGCTGATATTTTTATTGGCGCAATAGCGATTTAAATTTATACTATGTCAAAAGAATATATAGTTAGATGGTCATTCATAGTCTATGTCAACATCGAGCTTCTTGGTCTCTTCGAAAAGTAGCTTGCGATACTGAGCGGTCAAAAGTCAACATGGCGAGCAAAAAGGTAATTTGTACGGCCTTTGCCAGTAGTGGGCATTAACCATAATTTGCCTTGAAAGAGATAATGTCAACTTCTATCTTGCTGATGCCAGATTCGGCAAGCACAATCGTCTAGAACAGCTGTTTTGCCGTTACTATCTTCACCTAGGTACCTCTGGAAGAGATGATAACGTTTTCATAGTTTACTGTGCTTCTGGGTGTATTTTCGCGGACACACTAAGATGGTCATTGTCCGGACATGGGGACGTTTACCTATTGGCACGTTCCAGAGTCGACATCAACACATTCGGTAAATCTGAAATTCTGAACCAGTTCTCTGCACCATCAGGTGAATTCTCTAAGGAACAAATATCGAAAATCTCCTGTCATCAGAAATAGGTGCAAGATGTACTACTAGTTGGACCACGTTTACAAAGGCCTGCGTGCCGCACTGCCACGGAGCTCATATGCCCAGTGATAGGGAACGTCGGTTTCTAGCTGTCTTGGGTGCTTTAATGACCGATGCTTCTTGAAATATTATGAGCAACCAATCATGTACTTTTTTAGGATGATTAGGCACAGCTCAGAGCATTTCAGTTCGCTATTGGATAGAGTATCAGGCCATTGAGGACTGTTGAACTGCGACGCGCTGCTTCAGATGTACCATAAGCATAGCAGTCTCTAATGCACCGTGTAAGATGTTCTCCGTCCAGGGGCTTTTTCCGAGATCTAAATCATATTAAGCGCGTCAATATCTTTGGGTAGAATTTGTTGATCTCCTTTTAGCTTCTATGTTGGTGCGCAGCACCTAGCATATGTGGAAGGATCATGACTCTCAATGAGCTCGCTCGTAAACTCGTCTTGCTGCGGTTTACAAGACAGGGCTATAACAGGCGCACATTTAAAGGCTAGCCACTTAGATCTAATTAGATGCACTGTGCTGGGGCTTCCATAACAGGTCCCCGTGCAGTAGCTCCTTTTGGTTGTTCTATAAAACCGATGATACACTTTTTGTTGTCGGTGAAGAAGCTAAACTCCGGAGTATGAAGTTTTAGTTTGTGAAGTCCGTTTATCGGTGATAAGACCAAAGAGTGTGCATGCGACAAAATGAAGTTCTGTGACAACTTTATTACAAAACAACTAAATTCGGCTTCAAAAGGTGCAGCGTGTACATATGTACACTTTTCGGCTAGCGTGAATAGTTTTCGAAATAATGGCAAAGGTAGAAGAACTCAACTAAAGATGTTTACCGAAAAGATTGTTCTTTACCGTTTCCACCAGCAAATCTCTATTTGCCAAAATGCTGAATACTCATCAAAACATCAGGTTGACAAAACCTATATTCAAACAAGACATGGCGTATAGGTTTTTGCTTACTAATATTATTGTATATTGAAGCGCAAATAGTAATCGAGCAGTGCAGTAATAACGAAGAGGTTTTTTAAGGAAAGAAGAAGAAGTGATTTAAGCTTTGATCATCCAGTGTAGGTGTAATTTTGAAAAAAATAGACGTGTATTTAGGTGTTATCATGGATGCGCGACTGCGCTCATCGTTTTCAATTAGCTACGAAATACTTGTTTTGAATTTAAATAACGCATATATAT